CACATAGTTGTTCAAATAACGTGTTCTAAACTATTTTTTTCATAAGTAAAAAAAATGATTATCCCAAAGTAATAAGATACCTACAGTGATTTCCATAACCCCAGCCGTGCCTACCTCTTGACCTCACCGTGCTCCTTACTTGTGCTCACAGGCATTCTCATTGTACCTCAAATAGACCAGCCACCCCCAGGACCTTTGGGCATTGCTGTTTCTTTCTCCTGTGAGTTCTTTCCACAGATATTTGCACTGGTGATGTCTTCTCATCATTCAAGATTTAGTTCAAATTTCATTTTCTGACCATATTCTCTAATTAGCTTCATTACCATTGGTTTCCTCTTTATCATCATACTCTGTTTTCTTGTTTGAATAGCAATTATATCTCTCTGCAATTGCCAATCTTATTTAGTTGTCTGTAGACTGTCTTCTCTGCAGATTTAATTTTTATGTGATGGGAACTTTTTGTCTTGTTTTCGTTCTACTGCACAATTCCAGAAGACAATATATCATAGTTATTGAATAAATGTTTTTATAATTATTTAGTTCAATAACACTTTTTATGACATTCAATATTATTTTATAGTAGTTTCAGGTGTATGGCACAGTGGTCAGGCAATTATACAATCTATGAAGTGATCTCCCAATAATTCAAGTACCTACCTTGCACCATACATAGGTATTATAATACTATTGACCATATTTACTGTGCTGTACTCTATATCCACATGACTGTTTTGTAGTTATAAACTTGTACTTTCTAATCCCTTCACCTTGTCCCCCAGTCCTCCATCAATCCTCCTATCTGGCAACCAAGAGTTTGTTCTCTGTCTCTATGATTCTGTTTCTGTTTTGTTTGTTCATTCATTCTCATCTTAAGATTCCACATATAAGTGAAATCATATAGTATTTATCTTTCCCTGTATGAATTAGTTCACTTAGCATAATACCTTCTAATTCCATCCATGCTGTCACAAATGGTAAAAATTTATTATATTTTATGGCCAAGTAATATTCCATTGTGTATATGTATCACATCTTCTTTGTCCATTCATCTATTGATGAGCACTTGGGTTGCTTCCATATATTGGCTATTCTAAATAACATTGCGATGACATAGGGGTGCTTATATCCTTTTAAATTAGTGTTTTAGGTTTCTTTGAATATATACCTAGATGTGGAATTGCTGGTCATAGGTAGTTCTACTTAAAAAAATTTAAAGAATGTCCATATGTTCATACTCTTTTCCATAGTGGTTGTTTTTATGCCAGTACTATCCTTTATTAATTACTACCATCTAGTAGTATACCTGACATCAAACTATAGTTTCATGTCAGATAGCATGATACCTCCAGTTCTTTGTGACTCATTTTAAAAAAGTTAATATTTAAGAAATTTATCAATTCTTTTAGGTTATTAAATTTGGTAGCATATAGTCTTGCATAGTATTTTTGTACATTCCTTTGTATTTTTGTGGTGTCTGTGGTAACTTCTCCTTTTTCATTTCTGATTTTGTTTATTTGAGTCTTTTCTCTTTTTTTCCTTAGTGAGTCTAACCAGAGGTTTGTCCATTTTATTAATCTTTTCAAAGAACCAAGTCTTTGTCGCATTAATTTTTGTATAGCCTTCTTGTTCTCTATTTCATTTATTTCTGCTCTAATTTTTATTATTTCCTTCCTTCTGCTGACATTGAGCTGCTTTTATTTTATGTTCTCTAGTTCTTTAAGATGTATATTATGTTGTTTACTTGGAATTTTTTTCGTATTTCTTGAGATAGGCCTATAATGATATAAACTTCCCTCTTTCACTGCATCCTCAAAATTTTGATATGTCACCCTGGCCGTTTTGGCTCAGTGGTTAAAGTGTTGGCCCGCAGACCAGAGAGTCCTGGGTTTGGTTCCCACTAAGGGCATGTACCTTTTTTGCAGTTTGTCCCCGACCCTGGTTGGGGTGGTGTGGGTGGCAACTAGTCACTATGTCTCTCTAAGATCGATATTTCTCCCTCTCTTGTCCCTCCTCTCTCCTTCCTGCTCTATCTGAAGATAAATGCAAAATGTCCTCAGGTGAGGATAAAAAAAATTTTTTTGGTATGTCTTATTATCATCACCATTTGTCTCTTTGCAACTTTAGATTGCTCCTTTTATCTCTTCTTTGACTCAGTTGTTTTTTAGTAGCATGTTGTTTAATCTCCACATATTTGTGGTTATTTCTGCTTTCTTTTTGCAGTTGATTTTGAATGTCAAGGCATTGTGCTCGAAAAATATGCTTGGTATGATTTCAACCTTCTTAAATTTGTTGAGGCTAGGTTTGTGACCCAACATGTGGTCTATGCTTGAGAATGTTCCATGTGCACTGGAGGAGAATGTATAATCTGATGTTCTGAGATGAAAGGCTCTATAAATGTCAGTTATTCCATTTGGTCTAATGTGTCATTTAAGGCCAATATTTCTTTATTGATTTTCTGTTTAGATGATATATTCATAGCTGCCAATGATATATTTAGGTCCCTTACTAAAACTGTTTGTGTCACTTTCTTTTTTTAGTTGTTGTAATAGTGGCTTTATATATTTTGATGCTCCCAGATTGGATGCATATATATTGAGAAGTGTATTTGTCTTCTTGATGTAATGTCCCCTTTATCGTGATAAAATATCCATCTTTATCTCTTGTTACCTTTGTTACCTTGAAATCTATTTTGTGAGCTATGAGTATGGCTACACTTGCTTTCTGTGGATGCCATTTGCTTGGAGAATCATTTTTCACCCTTTTGTTTTGAGTCCATATTTGTTTTCGCAGCTGAGACAAGTCTTCAGAAGGCAGCATATGGTTGGGTATTGTTTTTGTGCTCCAGTTTGCTACTCTGTGACTTTTTATTAACGAATTTGATCCATTCACCTTTAGAGTAATTGTTGATGAGGATTTCCTATAGCCATTTTATCTTTTGTTTCCTGGTAGCTCTGTATCACCATCGTTTCTTTTCCCTTTTGTTTCTGACTGTTGTTTTAGTTTGGTGATATTCTACCATTTTGTCCTGTTTTCTCTTTTTCAAGTTATGTATCTCAGTTTCAATTTTTTTTAAATTACAAAAGGAAATTTATTTCAAAAGCATAAGGAAACATTTACTTTTGAACAATGTGATAAAGAGGTGTCTTGCAAAAGAAAAAAATCATGACGAAGTTTTTTATTCAAATTTCTGAAGCAAAAATAACCTAAGTTGTGCATTATTGCCTTAGGAGAGGGAAGGAGAACAATGAGTTGGTAAAAGAAGAAACAGTCAACACCAGACTTGAAGTAGAGTCGACTCTGCTTAGAGTTTACAAATATTCTTAAAAGAAAAAGAAGAAAAGTTACACTTAAATGTTCAAATTTTATGTAACTGTAGTCCTAATAGAGTTCCTATACTTGAAATGGCTTTAGGCCACCGGCTGATCTGCCTCTGAGGTGACCATCTGGTCACAGTTTTCAGACGGCAAGCCCATGTTCCTATGTCTGTTCAGATTCCAAGGAGCTGGAGTTCAGCTCACTGTCTTTTGGAATGTTTGGATTATTGCCACCACTCCATAGTCATGCCGACCAACTTCTTTTGCTCACTTGTATAATTCTAGTCTTCAAAAAATACTTTTCCTATAAACATGTGCAGTAATTCTAACAAAGGGGTTTTGCTTTTTCCTCAATGTATAAAGGTTAACAGTAATGAAGACACCTGCATTGGAATCACTAATTATTCCTCAAAAAAATATGTCAAACTACTACAAAATGTCAGACATTGGATTTGAATAGCAAACTTGAGAGGGAAGATTAACTGTGGAACAAAACAAAAATATATGCAACATTCAAATACAGAGCAAAGGGCCTATGTTACTAAAAATGCCCATGACATTAAACACTCCACAAACCCCCCCATCTGTTGTTTTAACCTAAAGATTCTATTGGCTAACTTATACAATAATTTTGATTAATAAACTGAAAAGTTAAAATCTTCAAAGTGGCAAAAGCAAACAGAGAGCATCCCTTCTTATTGGTACAGCATGTTATCAAGTCACTTTTCCTGGACTGCCCTGGTTAATAAATCCCCAAATTCTAAATTATTCTATGTCATCCTGTGGAAACCTGTTTGTACATCAGATTCAATATTTTGGCTGTATTTCTCCAAAAGGGATTTCCAAACTCTTCTTTGAAAATACAGCCTTTGCTTATTTTTAGTTTTAAATAACAATAATCATGTAAGTGCAACGGACTCAAAATCTCTCACTACTGAGAGGAAAACCTACATAACAAGTTAATAATGGATTCAGCCGCAAAAGGGTAATCGCCATGTTAAAGATGACCTGTTCCTGGAATTTAAAAAAATGATTTATGTTGTGTAGTCAAGTTTCACAGCATGCATATGTATATATACACACACACATACATACGCTTATGTATGTATATATATTATACATACACATTTCTATTCAGATAGTAAGAGCCCAGATTTAAAAGTTTATATCCCAACATATGGAGAAGAGTTAAGTAAGCAGTGCAAAGCAGCTTACTTTCTCCTAAAAAGGTAGTATTTCTACATTTTAAGAAAGCTGATAAATATTTTGCTCTTAGGATACTATGTAGGAATGCTGAACCATTGCCTAGCAGCTTTATTACAAAAAAATGAAAACAAAATGTTAAGATTGACCATTACTCTTCTCCATATATTGGGGGGAAAGAAAGGACAGAGGGGAGAAGAAAATCAGTAATCTTTCAAAACTGATGATCTTTACCAGTTATCAGAAATAGACTGAATTTCATTATATTTTAGACTTGAATAGCTCTCAACAAATTATTAAAAGTAAAAGATTCACAATATGAAGTCTGAATGATGATGATATTGCAAAAACAAGATTGCTCACAAAGCATCCCAAAATATCGCTGTGGTTTTACCTTGGACACAACCATGGTCTGTTACAAAAGTAGATCATACATACAAAGGTATAAAGAGCATTAAGTTTTAGCTGAAGGCAGCAGTCCTTTTAAAGGGACATCCCCGGCAATCCAATGAGTAGTAGAATGTATATAAGCTCATGACAATGCTGAAGAATGTGATGTTTTATTCGGTAGAGTCTTCCTCGACTACGATTTCCTCGTGCTCCCCAACCTCGGCCACCTCTACTTCTCCTGAAGGCTCCTCTCTGTCATAATTAAAGTTGCCCAAATTGCTGCTGTATTTTCCACTAGGGGGATTATAAATCTGCCTGGCACCCCTTTTTGGTCCTGCTGGAGATTTCTTGGGTGGTGAACCGGAAGCTGTATCTTCAGTGGCTCTCTTTTGCCCGATTTCAACCTTCTGTGCAGGTTTCCAGGATAATGTTACTGTGCTCTTACAAGAAGGAGGAATGTGGAAGAGATCCTTGATTAAAACATTGATGTTATTTGTTATTTTCAATGCAACAACTTTAATTTTGTTCTCATCTGTTTTCAAGGCCTCACCTGTTTTTCCCTGGAGAGCCAAGCGAAGTTGTCTGATATAAACCTGCAGGCCTCGTGCGAAGTACTGCAGCCTAATTTTAAAATCTTGGAGCTTTTCCGCATTCAGTTTGGCTGTTAAGAAATCTGGAAGTTTTCGGCCCAACTGGTGGAAGCTGTACAACAAACATCCCACATAACTGAATTGCAGCTTAGGTTCTTCATTACCAGCATTCTCCTCATTTTCTGCTTCTGGCATGTATTCCAATAACTTGTCAAACTGTTTCCTTAAGTTGGTTTCTAGCTTGTGCATGTCACCACAAAATGAACTCATCTCTGCCAACAGTTTCAATACCTCCAACTGTATATCAAGACCTTCCACTGGAGTAGTCAAGGAGCTGAGCTTAGGGAGAACCTGCTCACAGAAGTAAGTCACAAACCTTGTGGAATGCACGTTTTTAGAGAAGAGGGGTACCGCCTGCCGAGTGCACTGTAAGCGCCTGTCCACACAGTCGGGATCTGACGGGTTGAAGGTTTGTTCCAGGTCAGCCTGTTCAGCCACCAACTCTACAAGTTGCTGTCTTCCACTCACTGTCTGTAAGCTCTTTAACCCAGATAGTATCTTCATGAACAGGACAAATTCTTCACCAGTCACATCTTCTAGGACCTTTGTGGATTCAGTTAGTCTGAGCTCCTCTACTTCCTTTGTTAAGACTTCATCTGGTAAAGTCTTAAGTTTTGTAGAAAGGAATTTGATTGCTCGTTCTCTAACAATGTCCTCTCCTTGAAGGATTTGGCTGAATAAGCCACCTAAAGTCCCTTTTGCACCCATCTTAAATATACTTAACAGAGCATTGTTCACTAAATTAAATTCTGCAGAGTCATCTGTCTGCAAAAGTTGGGGGAAGATTTTCTCCAGTGGCAAATTGAGGGAGCTCTTTAATTGCCTGCCGTCGAATTGATACATCTTCATCCCCACAGAGGTCTAACTGTGCATTGATAGCAGAATCAGCCAATTCTGGAAAATGCTTAAAGAATTTTGGAATAAACTGAGCTGCTAATCTTTTTTCCTTGGTACCACCTTTCACACCATCCAATATCACTTGATAGGCATCTTTATGCTGGTCCACTTGCTCCGTGGCATCGGCTAGGATGCCATCGTTGCGGTAAAGCTCCTCCAGGTCGGCCTGGTGAGCGACAAGCCGAGGCTCGCTCCTGCTGTCGTGGTCGTCCTCGCCGGCGCCACTGCCACCCCTGAACTCAATTTTTTTTTAGTGTGTGGTTATCATTAGGTTTATGCAAAAGATACCATATATATATATATATATTCTTCTTCTGAATGCATCTTATCTCCTTTCTCCTTTGTAAATTCAGACTTTTATGCCCCCCTTTTTATGTATTTGTTGCCACAAATTATCCCTATTTATTCTATCAGTTCATTTTTGAATTGTAGTAGCTATTGTCTTTTTCTTTTTGAATGGCTTGACCTCCTTTAACCTTAATATTGTATTTAAGTGTATAATACCCTATTCTGAAAAAGGGTTGTAATATCCTGCTTCTGTTTGTCTGTTAGTAACCTTATTCATAGTTTTTTATCCTTTTGTTCTTTGTTTCAAGTAGGATAACTCTTCTAGTATTTTCTTGTAATGGAGGTCTTCTAGTGGTAAACTCCCTTAGCTTCTATACGTCTAGAAAAGTATTCATTTATCTTTTATATTTGAAGAATCACTTTGCTGGATATATTATTCTTGGCTGGTAATTTTTCTCTTTCGGTAGTTTAAATATTTTATTCCACTCTCTCTTAGCTTGTTTTTGATGAGAAATTTGATTATAATCTAATGGTATTTCCTTTATAGGTTACTTTCCTCTTTTCCCGGGCTGCCTTGAGAACTCTTTCTTTGTCGTTAATTGCTGACAGTTTTAATATAATGTGCCTTGAAGGAGACTTTTTGGATTAATATAATTAGGTGTTCTGTTTACTTCTTGGATTAAAGGATTTACCTCTTTCCATAGGTTTAGGAAGTTCTTGTTAACTATTTGAAAAGGCTGTGTTCCTTTCTCTTTCTCTTCTCCTTCTGGTATACCCATTATACTTATATTGCTCTTTCTGATGGAGTCAGATAGTTCCCATAGAGTTCTTTTGTTTTGTTTTTATTGTTTAACTCTCAGGTCTCTCTCTTCTTTCTTCTGTATCATTCCTAGATTTCTATCTTTAATATTACTAATTCTTTCTGCCATCTGGTCAGCTCTGTCCTAAGCTCATTGGTGCACTCATTATTTGTTTTATTGAGTTATTCATCTCCATAATTTATATTGGGTTATTTTTAAAGTATCAGTCTCTTTGGTAACGTATTCATTTTGTTCATGGATTTTATTTCTGGGTTCACTAAACTGCCTATCTGTGTTTACTGGCTCCTTGTTAAGTATTTTCAGACATGCAATCTTGAATTCTTTTGTCATTTAAATCACATATTTTCATGTCGTTAAGTTTATTTTCTGTAGATGTTTTAGTTTCTGTATGAGCTGCCATGCTACCTTGGTTATTCATGGTATTTCCTGGGTTTCTTCTCTTGCCAGGCATCTATGAGTGGCACCTCTCTAGTAGAATGACAAGAAGTTTTTCTTTCGTTTTCCACTAGGTGGTGCGAAAGCACAACTTGTTTAACTAAAAGCGGTCCCTGCTCTGGCTTCTCAGATCTCTGCAGGCAGTGAAAACTGTTCTGCTTTCCCTGGAGACCCAGGCATCTACTCTATGACCAGGTTGCTTCGGCCCTAGAGCACCAACCCCACAAGGAAATGTTTTGGTTGTAGTTCTGAGGCTGTGAAATTCCGTTGCTATCCCCTGCAGCCACATGCTGCCGGCAGTGCAACCTCGATGGATGGTGGGTGAACTGGGGGACGCTGACTGGTGCTTTTGTGGCTTTGGTCTCTCAGTGATGGCGACTGTTAGATCTCAGTGCCCTTACCTCTATATCTTCACCTGTCCCTGGGATTAGCCTCAGCGTGTGGCTCCAGTTTTCAGGGTTTCATGTAATGTGCTCTGAGGCCTGCTATTAACTATGGAAAGGTGAGTGGGGGGAGCTCTGGAAAGGTGAGAAGAGGCAGCTGAACTGTGTGGCTTTGTTTTTCTGCCTGGCAATAGTAGCCACCAGACGGCTGCACCATACCTCTGCTGCACACTGCGTCTGTGGCATGGGTTCAGCTCTTCTCCCTTCCCTGCCCCCAGCTTGCTCCCACCTGCCCACTTTCAGATGTTTCAATGTGTGGATCTCTCAGACATGTTTGTGTGCTGAGCAGAGAATCCTTTGTTGAAGTACAGCTGTTCGAATTGTTGTAACTTAAGGGGGAGAAATGGGGGGAGAAGTGGGGGGAGCTCTCAAGCTGCCATTCCTCTGACGTCACCCCAACTTGTGGATGTGTTCTTGCCTTCTACAGAAGTAAGCAATCTTTTTCATCTGTGTGGAGAGTGGCTTGAAGATAATTTGGATGAGACCAGATGATCCCCACTTCTCTTCCTGCTTCTCAATGTTCCCTCAGGATCTCATGTCAGCACTGGGTCACAGGAACAGGCTTCATCATGGGACATCTTCATCATGCAGTCATGTTCTCTTATCCATTCAGCCATGCTATGTCTTTCGATTGGAATATTTAATCCACTTATATTTAAAGTAATTGTTAATAGGTACATAGTTATCGTCATTTTATTAATCATATTTATGGGTTTTTTTTAGCTTCTTATTTAATAAGTCTCTTTAATATTTCCTGTAATACTGGTTTGATGATAATAAAGTCCTTTAGCTTTTTGTTATCTGGGAAGCTCTTTATCTCTCCTTCAATTTTGAGTAATAGCCTTGTGGAGTAGAGTGGTCCTTGTTTATCATCACTTTAAATATTTCATGCCAATCGCTTTGACCTGAAAAGTTTCTGTTGGTAAATCAGCTGACAGTCATATAGGAGCTCCCTTATAGGTAACTCACCGGCTTTTTCTTGCTGCTTTTGAAATTCTCCCTTTGTCTTGAAACTTAGCCATTTTGATTATGATGTGTCTTGGTGTGAGCCTTTTGGGATTCATCTTATTTGGAACTCTCTGTGCTTCCTGGATTTGTGTGTCATTTTCCTTCACCAGGTTAGGGAACTTTTTAGTAATTATTTCTTCAAATAGGTTCTCAGTTTCTTGTTCCCTCTTTTCTCCCTCTGGCACCTCTAGGATATAAGATGTTGTAGTGTTTTATTTTATTCCAGAAGTCCCTTAAACAAACGTCATTTTTTAAAAAAATATTTTTTCTTTTTGCTGGTATGATTGGATGTTTTCTTCTACCTTGTCTTCCAGATCACTTTTATGCTTAATCAAATCTATTGTTGATTCTTTCATTTCAGTTATTATATTCTTTATTTCTGACTTTTCAAAAATGGTTTCTATGTCCTTTTTTATGCTACTGAAATTCTCACTATATTTCTCGAGCATCCTATAACCATTGTTTTGAACTCTGTTTCTGGTAGATTGCTTTATTTTATTTAGTCATTTTTCTGGAAAATACTTCTATTGTTTTATTTTAGACATGTATTTTTATGTCTTCATTTAGGCTGCATCTCTGTGTTTGTTTCTGTGTATTAGGTAGATCTACTATGTCTCCCAGTCTTGGGTAGGTGGCCTTATTTAATAGGTGTTCTGTGGGTCCCAGTGGTGCTGTGTCCCTGATTACCCTGAGCTGGGTGCTCCAGGATTGTCCCTCATGTAGGTGTGCCCTCCTAGTGTAGTTGATCCTTGATTGTGGTTGGCATGTCTGTGGGTGGCTTGATTCTCAAGATGGTTGGCTGTGAGGATTGGTTCTGATCACAGTATAGGATCTGCCATGTGGGGCTGACCTCATGAAGCAGAGTCCTCCCCCACACACATGGTCTGGTGCCTGCTAATATCTCCCTTTGAGTGTGCCATTTGTGGCGCTAACTGTGGAATTCTTGGTTGTGGTCTGAAGCCAGCCACCAGGTATATTGGTTCTGGGGTCTCTTGGGTTAGCCTATCCTGTAGGTAGTGTCAGAGGCTTTCTGTAACCAGCCCTGAGCTCCTTGCTAGGAGCTACCAAGTGACACACAGTTACTAGCTGTGTGTACTGTGCCTGGGTGTATGTGGGAAGTGCCAAGTTGCAAACTGAGGTCAGCTTATACCAGTACCAGGCTTGGGGCAGGTCAGCACAAGGCTCAAGGCATGCTGAGACCTACCACCAGCTGCTAGCTGCCTGTTGGGCTCAGCCACTTAAAAAACCTCTAGTAGTGGTATTCATATTGTGTTAGAGAAGTTCTCAGGGAGTCACCAGGGTGGGGTAAAAGGTATTGACCAAGTTAGTGCAGATTCAAATATGGCACCAGGGAACACTGAGGCCACTCAACAAACACGTTGGGGAGCACTGAGGCCAGCTGCCAAGCCCCCCGGGACCTGGGAACTTGTGCAGTTGGTGGTGTATCAGGGTGTCAACAGGGTGGAGTTAGTAGAGCTCACTCAGCCAATGCAGATATGACTGTGTGGGGGGTGCTTAACACAGAAACGGTGGCACCTGTCAGTTGTGGGCAAAAGATGGCCCTTTTCCAAAGCCACACAGTTCGTCCTGTGTGTCTCTGGCATCCCCCAAGCTTGGCCAGAATTTCTCGAGAGTTTGTTTCTCAAGTCAGACTACAATGTGAGTCCAGGCTGCTTACAGAGCTTCAGAACTTGTGTGGTTGGGTAGGGTGGGGCCTCAGGCCTCAGGAAGTCTTTAATTTTTTATTTTTTTTACCCTCACCCGAGGACATGTTTGCATTCATTTTCAGATAGAGTGGGAGGGAGAGAGGAAGAAAGAGAGAAAAACATCAATGTGAGAGAGACACATCGAGTGGTTGCCACCCACAGGACCCCAGCCGGGGCCGGGGACAAACTGCAATTGAGGGACGTGCTCTTAGAGGGAACCAAACCTGGGACTCTCTGATGCACTGGCTGATGCTCTAACCACTGAGCGAACTGGCCAAGGTGTGTCCTTCAAAAGGAGTTAATATGGCTGACCAGGCTGATGCTCTGGGGGAAGGGCTCTGCATAGGAAAGGCAGTGTTTGTGGTTCTCAACCTAAAGCCACACACCGAGTTTCTCATTGTGGGTCTCTTGCATCCTCTGAACTTATCTGAAACTCCTGTGAATTTTTTTTTTTTTTTTTTTTAAAGTTGCAAAGCAGGCCCAGGCTGGATGCCACCGATAGAACCTTGAGTCATTCATGTATTGGGTTGGT